CCCCAAAACCCCAAAACCCCAAAACCCCGTTTGGGCTAAATCGAATGAAAGCTCTTATTATTGATAAAAATTTATTTTAACTTCACAAATATATCAAAATGACTGAAATGAAGAAAAAGTAAGTCTTCATCTAGTTAGATGAAAGCGATGAAGACTTGAATTTGCTTCCAAGTGAAGAGCTAAAGCAAAGCAGTCACTAGCAGGACCAAAGTGAAATTAGGGAAAATAGAAGCACTAATAATTTAGACATCACACCGGAAATCAGTTAAATTCAATACTCACAAAATTAAGTCACGGAGGATTAGCCAGCTGACTAAGACTTTCAAAATTTAGATTATGGGAATCCGGAATAAGACTAAATGGAACGGTTGATTTAGTCAATTATTGAGCGCTAGGAAAATGTAGTATATGCTATTGGAGAAGAAGCATAGTTTCCTTTGATTGACAATAACATAAATGTAAGTGCTGTTTACCCTGTTTGATATTTAAATTTAGAGTTTCCAAGATTTATGTTCTGAACTCAATTAACAACTATAATTTTTATTTGACTATTATGAGGATCTTAGAAAAACAAATGCTGCTAAATTTAATAGCAATCAAGTACAAAGATAACTTATTAGAGAGAAAGAGAATCTAAATACAATGCTTAAATAGTAGGTAAGTTTAACAGCGTTAACTTTTTTAATTTAATTTGAATATAGACTGATGAGAATAAAGACCTTCAAGTAAGATTTAAGCAGTATAATGAAGAAATTGAGGAATTACAGAAGAAATTAAATCATTTAAATTAGGAAAATGCTGATTAAAGACTCTCAATAACACGATAATCACTTTCTAACATCAAGGCACCGGCTGTTAATCAGCCAAATAGAACTCCCAAATAAGTTATCAAGCAATTTATTAATCTTGATGGGAGTCCGAATCAGAGCTAATTAGATCATGCCAGCAATCAAGAAGAAAATCCCAAATAAAATTCTAACGAGCTAGAAACATAACTTATATAAAAAGAGGAGAAGTTGAAATCGCAAACAGACTAAATAGAAAAACTAGAAAAGGAACTATAGGAAATGAAAGAGGCAAAAGAAAGATTAGACGGATAAAAGCTGGTCAAATAAAAATCGAGAGAAAATTTTAAAAGTAAATACTACTAACTATCTCTAAGTAATATTGAGGAATCAGATCATGAGAGCAGTTTTAATAAGGGTGATTTCTTATCAAGGAAAATCGAAGAGAAAGATATGCTTATACAGACTCTCTAAGATAGAATCAAGATGCTAATGTCCTCTTCAAATCTATAAATGAATATTCATAACTCTGATACATATATGCAAAACATTCTTAAAGAAGATTAGAACACACCAAATAAGCATAACTAGCAAAACTATTTCCATAAATCAAGGACTAGTCTTGGAAAATTAGAGGGCTCTTCAAGAGATCTTTACTAAAGAGGTATCAATCAATCTTTAACTATAGAGGAGTTATTAAGAAAACTAGAGGAAAAAGGAAAAAAAGATAACAAAAAGCAAGTTATGATTTAAGAAGATAATGACCTAGTGTATAAATTTGATGAGCTAAACAAACAATACCATGATCTTTTGAAAGAATTCAGAGCTCTATAAAAGGAAAAAACCTTAATTTCGAAGATCATGGATGAATTAAGTCAGGCTAACTAGAATCTAGATAGCGATTTCAAGATACTATTCAAATAAGTATCTTAAATGAATCAATTAAGGTAAAAAGAGGAGCAAAGCATTCAAAGGGAAAAGAATGATCCCAAAGTTTTCCTTTCACAAGAAGTTGATGATATTGAATCTCTTCTGGAGTATATAGTTATTTTGTTCAGGGAAAAATAGTTTATGTAAGCTGGAAAAATGTGGTAAAAAATTCAGTACTAGGAGCTGAGTGGAGTTAAATTAGAGGAAAATAATCAGTATTTGAAAGTAATCTTAAACCTAAGAGATGAGCAATTAAAGGAACTTAAGATAAACATGAGCCCAGAAAAACTAGTTGATGAGGGAAGAATAAATAGTATGATAAATAGCCATCTTAAGTATAGAAACGAAAGAATAGAAGAGCTTGAAACTTAGTTAGAAGATACTGAGTACAAGAATAAGAATCTCCAAGATATGATAACCTAACTTAAAAATAAAAATGAAATTCTAGTTGGTGAAAAAGACTTTGACAAGAGAAAAAATGACAAAATCAAAAAGGAAAATGAGAATATAAAGCAAGAGCTTAGCGAGCTAAAGGAAAAGAAAATGGTCGAGATTTAGGAAAAATATGAAAGAGAAAATGGCTAGTTAAGATAAGAGATAAGATAATTGACCTAAGAAAAGTCTAAGCTTTAGAGTAAAAAACTAAAGGCCAATGAGTTTAAGTAAAGAGTAGATTTGTAAGATGAAGATGATGATGGATTAGATGATTAAGATACTACAGATAACCAAGAGCCAGCTCCAAAGCAAAAAACAAGTTCTATAGCCTAAGAATACTTTAAGTTCCAGGCTGATTAAAAGCGAAGCAGTGCATACAATGTAAAGATAAATAGTGGCGAGCCATCTATTATTGGCAAAAAAGAAGAGATATAAAATAGCCATGGCTCGATGGTCGGAGAAGATTTTGAGTAGCAAATGAGAAAACTGTATGCCTAATTTTTTACAAATGAGTATAAAAGTAGTTAGGATAAGATAAGGAATAAAAATTCTATATTTAAAGAGCTATTTGAATTAGCAATAAGTGAGATCACTAAAAATAAAGATAGATATGTTGATACTAAGAAAAAATCCAAGCAATTGTAAATTGATGCTGCCAAATATTATGAATAAAATAAAGAACTTAGAAAAGATAATGAAAGAAGCCACTCATATGCTATAAAACTCATAATGAGAATGGGGTGTTAAAGTTAAGGGAAGGAGCATCTATAGGATTTAGAAAAGCTTAAGCTAATTTAACTTCTAAAGCTAGTTTCCTAAATGCTTTAGGATATTGAGGATAAAGATAAAAGAATGCAGTCATTTAAATAAACTTTGACCCACGAAGGAGAAGATATATAAGATGACTTCATGGAAAAATTATCCAAAGAAGAGGCTTTGCAAATGCTTAAAGAACTTTCATCTGAAAATGAAAATCTTGTTATGAGTTCTCAGAAATTCAATAATGAACTTCAATTAATAGCTAAAGAAGTGAAGGAACTGTAAAAAGCAAATGAAGACTTAGTCAGTGAAAACAATAAGCTTCGTAGATATGTAAAGAAGATGAAGGAGAAAATGAGCGCTAGGGAATCGTTAATCGAAACTCCAATTCAATAGCCAATAACCTAAAATCAGAGTTAAAATGATCTCTCCAATGGCAACTAATTTAGAACATTAGACTCTAGACAGAGCTATGATCCAAAAGAAAGACAAAATTTTTCTGAGATAAAAAATTAAAAAGTTACTCCTACTATGTTTAAATATGAAAGAGATAGATACGCTACCTAGAGACTAAGCTAAGGACAGTAAGAAATGTAAAAAACGATAAACAAATAGATTAAATTATCAAAAAAGCCACCTAGAGAACCTAATATGATTCACTATACTTCAAGCCAACCTAAATCTATCAACCCTAACAAGAAGTATTTGGACACTCATATTAACAGCAAGTTTAAAATTGATCAAGCCCATAAGACCAATAATTCTTAATTTAGTTTTTCCAATGAATTTACTAATCTTTCAATGAGCAATAGAATTCATAACTCCTACAATGATGGCTAATCCTCTTCTTAATACTTGCCCTCATCTATGACTCCAACTAATAAAATCTCAGATTATTTCCATAACCTTGAAAATGCTTTAGCAAATTATGAATCAGAGAGAAATGAGCTTCGCAAGACCTCTTAGTTCCCCATAGGTGAAAATGACTACACTAATCAATCTATCCACACCTATGAATTATGTAGAGGCAAAGTGATAGAAAATAATTAAAATTTGAGTGAGGATTATCTGAATGCACCGATTGGCTCAACAAAATATAATAGCACTAATCTCAATCCAAATAATTCTAAGAAAATAATAGCTTTAAGACATCACATGCCAATCCTTAGTATCAATGGAAGTAAAAATGAGTTATCTTCTTAGAATTAGAGAATGTATTGATGAAATTATAGGAAGATAAGCTAAAATCATGACAATGTAACCTATTAATTTGACATAGAATAGAACATTTTTATTTCTCTAATTATGGTGAATGATAAATAGTATTTTTGTTTGGACTTAATAAGTATATCTAAACAGTAAATTATTCTAACTAATAATCTGATTATCTAAGCAATCATAATCAGAGGGGTTTTGGGGTTTTGGGGTTTTGGGG